CTGCCTTTTATCTTCCTCGCGGCCTCATACACTCACTCATCCTTTCGATCTTGGTTTATGGAAGCACCTACCTGGGCTCCTCTGTTTCTGCCGTGGGCATGTACAGTGCCATCTAGGCCCAGGGTACTTTCCAGTTTCAAGTGTTGGTGGCTGCACATGATCAGGAAGCAGCAATACCAACAGGGCAACAATAGCCAGGGCTGCTGCCACAGCTAGCCACACTTCAGCACCCAAACCCCAAGTCCCTGTGGCCACCGTTCCATGCCCCCATCTTCCTCCCACTCACCTATGCCTGGACATGCACAACGTGCTGATCTGACTGCTATCACATCCTCTGCCTGGCCCAGCTGCACACCTGGGCAGACTGGCCTCTGGCCCATATCCTGTGGATGCTGCCTTTGGTTTTTGTCTGGTGGTGGGCTCCCATGAGGTTTTCATGTAATAGGTTTTATGAGAGTTTGGACATGCACAAGGATAGTCTGTATATCATATTAGGGCATTTACACAGCACCCAAATTGCAAAATATCTTATTTCACATAACATATCATGGACATTAATCAATGCATATCTACATTCTAACTTAATAGATCTGGTATAGGCTAAGTGTCTATAAGTTTTCCTACCAATATGATTCTTCTACATATCTTGGCTAAAGACCACTTTGAAAAATATATAGGATCTACTCTATGCAAATAATATGCTTAAAATAGATCATGTTAGTGCAGAACTGGTTTGTTGGCACGTTCTCCTAGCTCTCACCCAAGGAATGGTAATTATGAAAATAAACTTAAATGAACCTTCCTAATGGATTGGAAACTTATATTTGGCTGCTATTTTTAGATCAAGTAGCATATTTTAGGTCAAACAGGATATTTTAAATTAGTTTCTCTTATCCTTATAGCATGACATGGTTCATTAAAAGAATAATTGTTAAAATAAGTAGTATCTGCTCATTTTCACACTTTTCCAGTTATAATTAAATTACAGGGGAAGGGATATTTTCACAACCAATGATGGTATAGTTTTAACATATTCCTTTGTCTCATAGCACTCTATATAATTCATTGCACTTGTCACACAGAACTACAGACAAGGTTCATGATTATGAGGTTTATTTAAGTTAACAGATTACAATTCAGGGGCAAAATGCTCAGCACACAGTGATTGAGTTAGGACATGTTACAAAGTGCGTGGGGCTACAAGTCAGCATTCCCAAACATGCTATGGTCACTGTAAATTTGAAGCAATTTGATGGCAGTGGATTTTTTGTTTGTTTTTCAAGGACAGGTGGGAGCTGAGTCTGTTATGTATTGTATAACCTACATTATAAAGAGATGATGTCCAGTTAGATAGTGGGGTCTGCCCTTTGAAGCAAAAAGAATTGCCTTTTTAAAAGCTTGAGACAACTATGCCTCCAGCTAAGCAGCTTCTACTCCCACAGTATTGAAAAAGGCCAAGGATTGGCACTCCACAATGAGAACAGTCCTTAAGCGTTTTGGGACCAAGGTCATTTCTTCTCCATGATGCTTTAGTGTAGCAGCATTCAAGATTCAGTCAGAGTATATTGAGTTGAGTGGGAAAGCTGAATTTCTACCTAAAGGATGGCGGTGAATGGAGGACGCATCACGTGTGAGGTTGACCCTTGCACCTTCAACATTTGTAGCCTGTTTAGGATTTCTCTCTTATTTTGAGGACTTAAGTAAAATCTCCCTCCCTTGCCCCTAGTTTAGCACACACATCACCCTCCAAAACCACCAGACTGTTCATAACTGAGTTTTTCTGCCTGACCCTAAGGGAAGTGTCCCTCACTTCCATTGAACTAGGAGCCCATGCTACCTTTCAACCTTCTTGCTACTCAGTGTCCTGCAGGCCGGCAACTCCACTGCTATGAGCATATTGTTAAATGAAAGCTGAGAGCTCTAAGGACTGTAATTGTTTTTGAGTCAACCACATTCACACCTGACAGGAAAAAATTCAATAAAATCTTTCTTCAGCTCCTTCAGGATTTCCACAATGAGGGTCGGGGGAAAAGAAAATAAAGTGCTTCCATTGTTGATTGTAACAGCCAATATCAACCTGAGCAGGTGTGGAATTAGTCCGGATTCTTGGTCTACCATGGCTACTCAGTTAATTGTTATTGGTCAGGGTAAGGGCAACCGATTCTTCAGAGGTTGGGGATTCATTCGTCCAGACCTTCGTTTGTTAATTCATTAACTTTTGTTTTCTAGTTCACCTTACTTTTAGAAGGGGGCTTGATATAACTAAAATTTCTATTTGATGTAGGGGAGCATTATTGGCTTTGTTAGGATAAATCAATATACACTTGATTATTTCATCTATGGGATCTCTTAAAATCTTTCTCCTACAAAAATTTTCGTTTCGATTTTCAAAATGCAATCAAGTAAATTAAACAATTCTTTTTTTTAAAGTGCAACTGTGACCCGTGGGCTAGACTCAGTTCTACTGGAGGTGGTGCCCTCTTTCTGCGGCATCCTAGAATGAGAGAGGGTGCCAGAGGACATCTGGCGCCCTCTGGGATTGTCTGTCCCATTGACTGGGTTTGGAAGTAAGTGTTGTTTAAAATCAGGCTATAGTATAGGTGACAAGTGACAGGATGGACATATGTCATATTTTTTAAAGTAAATGATAATGGTGTCAGAGCTCATCTTGTTTCTCTTTTCTCTTCCATAGTGTTGGAGTGTCGAGATCAAAAGATGTGCCACCATTTGGTCCACCAATTCCCAAAGGCGTAACTTTTCCAAAGTCAGCAGTTTTTCGGGACTTCCTCTTAGCCAAAGTAATCAATGCAGAAAATGCAGCCCATAAATCAGAAAAATTTCGGGCAATGGCCACTCGGACAAGGCAAGAGTACTTGAAAGATCTGGCGGAGAACTTTGTCACGACCACCACTGTGGATACCTCTGTAAAATTCAGTTTCATTACACTGGGCGCGAAGAAGAAGGAAAAAGTAAAGCCAAGGAAGGATGCACATTTATTTAGCATTGGCGCAATCATGTGGCATGTAATCACTAGGGACTTCGGCCAGTCTGCTGACATTGAATGTCTTCTTGGTATCTCTAATGAGTTTATAATGTTGATTGAAAAGGATTCCAAGAATGTTATATTTAACTGCTCCTGCAGGGATGTTATTGGGTGGACATCTGGATTAATGAGTATCAAAGTGTTTTATGAAAGAGGTGAATGTATCCTTCTATCGACAGTGGATAACTATGCTGAAGAAATAAGGGAGATTGTTCAGAGGTTAGGAGTAAGTACATGCTTTATATTTTCCACCTTTTTTTCATCAATCCCAGGTTCATGATCATTTTCACTATTGCTGTTTGACTATGATTATAGCACTTAAAGAATGAATTCCTATTTCTTATGGTCATAGTGCTTAATTTTAAATGCTGTGTCCTTTTGAGCAGTTGGGACAAAACTGAGGCTCTCGGCTCCCATAAAGCATTGCAGTCTCAGAAACCCGAGACTCTGTCCTATAGGGTCACAATGAGTCAGAATTCACATGCTGGCAGTGAGTTTTAGTGTTTTAGAACTTTCTGAATATAAATACTGAAATGCTTGCCATAAATTAATCTGAGGGAAAAAAGTTAAACTGATTTTCAAAAAAGAACATTGTGGTATTTTTAGTTGCATTTAAAGCAAAATCAAGTGAATTATGTAGCTATATCTGTTTGTATAGACAGACATGACAGTATCTTCTTAGAGAGTAATAAATAAAAAGAAAATTGCTGTTGATGATATAAATTAATAAGCCTTATTAGCTGATTCAACTCAGCTTATTTATAAATCAGATTTTTAAAATATTATTAATATCCAGCCACAATTTCTCATTACATTTGAAAAACCAAAAAAAGAAATAGCTTACAAAAATAATTTCTTAATATGTAATTTTTAGTACAACACTCTTACATTTATGTAGGCTTAAGAGTTATATCTGATCTTACTTTAGTTTGAGTATATATAATAGAGTAATATAAACAAATAAAACATTTTCTGTGTGTGTGTGTGTGTGTGTTGGGGGATGGTGTATGTGGGTAATATAAGAAGAAAACAACCTTTGAGAATGGAATTTTGTTCCTACAATAACGTATTAGAAAAACACTTAGCTATCTCTGGATCTTGAAAAGAGAAAAATTATATGTATCTATTTATTTATTTATTTATATTAGTTATATTTATTTCCTTACTCCTTTCTCTAACCAAATCTAAATCTCCCCTTTGTTCTTTAAGACCTTAAGATACATTAAAACCAAGTCAATATTTGCTAGCCTTGGAAGAAGAATTTCATTAGATACAGATACGATTCACAAAAGAGGCCTCAGTGTGGTCAAAGTGTTACCAAGCATATGTGTGTAAACCTAGATAAGAGTTTAGGGACAATTAAATATTGAGTAGTTTACATACATAGGTAATTGATTTGAGTTGTATTTGTGAATTTAATGACACAGTATTTTCTGTAATAGTGTAAATACTTTGGATAAAAAACTAAATCCACTAACTAATTATAATATCTATGCTACCACTCAATGGCTCTTCAATCAAACTTTGCATGGCCATTTGTACTTCATAGGTATCTATGGACAGCACATCACATTTATACCACTACATTTGTACCCAAGACCCACATGACTCCTACTCACTATAGCATGGGCCCCCTTTGCCATTTTTTCTGGAGCAATGACTGTGTTAAAGTGACTAGGGTGCCAAATGCCTGGAATGTATTTCAGAAAAGTTGTTTTGTATCTAGGATAACTTGCAATTCAAGATACTAGAAACCAACCAACTCAAAGACAACTAAGTAATTAGTATACAAGGTTATTAAAGAAGCCCTGGTGACACAATGGATTAAACAGGCTCATAACTACAAGGTTGGTTGTTTAAATCTACCAGATGCTCCGAGGGAGATAGGTGAGGCTGTCTGATCTCATAAAGATCCATAGTCTTGAAAACACTTAGCGTCACTATGAATCTTAATTGACTGAGTGGCAGTAGGTTGTATTGCAGGGTAATATCACTATAAATGAAAAAAAATTAAGATGCAGTTGTAAAGATACTAGGATTGAGTTTGACAGATGGTTAAGTCAGCTGTCCTGTTTAAGGGTAACAAAAAGTAAAAGTAAAGGTAGCTAGGATTCAAGTAAAGACACAAGCTGGGAATAGAAGCCGATGTTTACAGGAACACTCAGGGTTGGCTTCAGAGAGCATGGCCGTTTGTCCCAGGCCCTGGATTTAACCAGGCTTGCACTTGCTTTGTAGTCTCTGTCTGTTCTGCCCTATAAAGTGGCTATGAATTGGAATCCATTTGATGACAGTGAGATTTTTCTGGGTTGCTTTGAGTTGCCATCTTGAAACTTTTGAACAAGTGCTCTGCATTTTGCTTTTCTGTTGAGCCCTACAAATTGTGTGGCCATTCCTGTGCACAGCATAGGAGACTACCACATTCTTGATAATAGTGCCCCTGGGAGAGCTTAAAATAAATGGACACTGTCATGCAGACTCAGTCTTTGAATGATAAAAAGCAAGGAGCAGAGGAGATCAACGCAATCTAAAAATTGGGGAAATGGTAGGTGTTGGAGAAAATAAGCAAAAGAGACAGTATGTTGTCCTCTAGCGAAGCTCTTTCATTCACTCTTCCAGTTAATATGGAAATGAAATTATACTTGAAAATTGCAACAGTATTTGAAAGAATATGGGGCACATTTTATTTATAGTCACCTGGTGATGAAGCTTAGAGAAAGCTAGAAAGACGTAAAGGAAAATGTATTCAGGTTGTACATATGACAAAGGACTTTTCCAACAATTTTAAAGGTGTTCATTTCTTCAGTTTTGAAACTTCAGTCTTTCAAAACTTCCCCACTGGCTAAGACTAGCAATCCCTTTCCACATTTCCTTAAGCCCAAGACTGTCATCTCTGTCTGTGAGAACCTGTCATGGAAAGTATACACTTGCAGTAACCATGGAGACAGCAGACACAGTGGTGATGCACTGAAACCAGGCCCATTCCCACAGCTGCACTTACAGCGACAGGTTTGATTAAATAGGTGTCTGTGTAATCAGTACATGCTCCATAGAAACGGAGTATTTATTATTCGGAAACTTCATATAATGGCTCTGAGCTTTGGGGGATGTGTCTACAATACCCTCTGATTTTAGATTCCCCACAAATAAGTGATGCCATCAAATAATATTTGCTGAACCCTTCTTTTCTTTCATTGCTTGAGAAGCCACTCTAATGGAAACAAATTACAAATGCTTTTGGTGCACCATGTGGGGCACTACCACCATTCTTCTCTCACTGTTTCTTTTTGTGGATCTTCTATAGTTAATTTGTTGGGAAGGTAAATCACTAGTGCTACTCCTGCTTGGGTTGTCCCAGGCCTCTCCCTGGGATTTCTGGTTTGATGATGACTGGCCTGATAAAGAGTTGAAACCTGTTGGTATAAGAGGCTCTGCTGCCTACAAGAGCATCACCTGCCAACCTTCTTTGCCACCAGATGACAAAAGAGTCTGTTGGGTACCACAGACATGATATGAAGGTTCCCCACGACCAGCCAAGTGGCCGGAGTGGGACATCTGCAAGATTGATGCCATTTGAAGCTTTACTCTTCTCTTACGATTCCAACGTCATGGTCCCCTACCTAGATTTCAGGGCATGGTACTAAGTGTGCTGCTCGCTCTTAAATGAATGTGCAGCATTGATTCTAAAAGACTTGAATGAAACTGCCTGTTTGGTTATAGAATTAAGTGAGCATTGTAATGGATCTAAAATATTTTCCCATTCTTATTTAGACAATAGAATTTGTATGTTTAGAAACCCAGTAAATTGACATAAGCAAGGATAGGGAAGAATTCAATGCCAATCGTAAACTCTTGAGCTCAAGGTCAGTGATATCAAAAATGGAAGAACACCTGTACAAAGAATAGATCAGCCTTTGAAAAGTTAAACCATAGGTTTACTTTCATTATTATCTTTGCACTTAAAGCCACAGTTAATTATGATGAGCTCTGTATTTAAATATGCCTTCCTTTTACTTATACAGTTTGAAGAGGAGAGCAGAGGGGGCTGAGCACTGTTTAAGCTATGCTAGTTAGTGGCATGAGAGTTGAGGAGAAGAGCACTAGAGCCAAACATTCATGTGCACACCTGAGTGAGAAAGCGAGTCTTTAACAGTGTCCTTCCTTTTCAGATAGTCACAAGAGGCTGTGAGACTGTGGAAATGACCTTGAGGAGAAACGGGCTAGGCCAGCTAGGCTTCCATGTGAACTTTGAAGGAATCGTTGCAGATGTGGAGCCTTTTGGCTTTGCCTGGAAGGCTGGCCTGCGCCAAGGGAGCCGTCTGGTGGAGATATGCAAAGTGGCTGTGGCCACCCTGACCCATGAGCAGATGATTGACCTGCTCCGGACCTCTGTGACAGTGAAAGTGGTTATCATCCAGCCCCACGATGATGGTTCACCCCGAAGGTAAGAGATTGGCAATTACAACAAAGCAATGCTTGTTCTCCAGGGCCTCTGAACCAGGGGGATGTCCTGACAAGTGAATCTTCTGCCAGCACTATTGGCACATGAACCATTAGAGCAATTCCGAAGAACTTAAAAGTCAAACTAAATACTTAATGACACACTATGATGAAGTGTAATTCTCTAAGCAATTTAAAGGAAACTGACCACATAAAAGCTGAGATAAATGACTAAATTCACTTAGTTCACCTGTGAGTTCTAGTTAATTAATAGGGCCCTTCTAGCCATAATTCTGTGATATAGTATAATTCTAGATTCTATATGCCTGTGGCTATATTTACATTTGGGAAGGTATTCTCTACTAGTAGGCAAGATTAGGGTGGGATTAAGACGTGATCTTAGTAGAGGATGCCAACCAAGCATCACCCCTCATTTTTTTTTGGAGACATCTTTGAGACTCTACCTTAGTAGAGGGTGTGATTTACTATCCATTGCTATCCTTGGATGGGAACAGACACTGGGACTACCATACAGCTCTAATACAAATCATCTAACCTGGAAAGATGGACCTCTGTTTCCTCGCTGAGCTTTTGTAGAAGCAGGAATACCTGCTGTGACTTTTAGACACTTTTGGCTTTTAGCTCGGGACTCAGCATTTGACTCACCTCTACTTGACCTTCAGATTTGGAACTGAACAGCACCCACCACACATGAGACATTTCCTCAAGGTATCATGAGTTTCTATGGTAAAATGCCGGGAATAGCAGATCCCAGGGATGTGAAGGAATATACTCAAGGGAGATGTGAAAGAAAATTGGAGAAGAATACTATCTTGGAAGAGTTAGACATTTGTGACATCTTTAATCTCCAATTCCTTGGAACTATCTGGCATTAATTCTCTTAAAAGAAATTGTGACCAAAGTTGTTGTCAGAATGATGGGGCTTGCTGCAACAGCCTTGCCTCACTGGAAAACGTGGTTTGGGGAAAAGAGGAATAAAAGGAAAAATGAGAAACCTTTGGTTTCCCGTGGGATAAAGAATACCTACAGCAGCAGTTACATTGCAATCTATTTAATCAAGGAAACAGCTATTCATGGGATACAGAACTGGTGGATGTAGATCTAAGTTTGGTTCCAACTATAATCTCTAGTCACAGGGCCTGTTAAGAAAGAAAAAAATGTCTCAAAACAACAGAAAGTGCCCCATCACAACTCATCACCAAGAAGGGATTACAGAAGGGAAGCAGCAAAACCCAAGAAATGATTTAAACCACAGAGTAGTATAAAGTAGTTGCTTCCATTTGTAGCCTGGTTTCATCAGATTCTTGAGGCACTGTTGCCAAAATGGATTGTAAGAGTGACTGATTTAGGGGCAGTGCCTTTGATTTTGCCCACTAATGAATGTAAGAATTGTTTGGGTTGATGCCAAACCCACAGCTCACTATGGGACAGTCAAAAATGGTAATACTAGATCCAGTGACCATGAAGGTTAACCCAGAAGGGGCAGCCAGCTTTGTGGATTGGATACAATTTCCAAGAAGACTTGTTTACCCTAAGAAGGGCAACTGCCTCTCCATCCTTAAATACTCACTGGAGCACTCCAGAGGAAGCAGCTAACATGCTGCTTATGGAAGTAATGCTAGAATGACTTTTTGGTGATTGGGATATTCATTCAGTGAGTATGCACTTGCACAGGTTATGGCAGGTATGTTCATCAAGGGAGCCCCTTCTATGTTGGCACTCCATGTAACCTTACTACTGCGAAAAAAGCAACAATCCAAGAAGCCATGTCAGCTTTGTTAAAACATCTTCCCTGAATGAGTTTTACAGAATCAAGAAACATAAGGGTAATTAATAGGAGAATGTGAAGGGGAAATTAGGAGAGAACTTATCAGTAAGAAAGAGATTTTTATATAGCCACTTAGAAGTGGGATAATATAGTAGACATGGATGGATTGATACAGCACTACAGAGATTGGGTGGACCAATGGAAACTTCTACTGGTCTCCCAATATTAAAGAGGCCTAAACAACTCCACTCTATTCACCCCAGCTGTGAGTTATTTAATGATGGAAATTCCTATCTGGGACTATGTGAAACAGAGACTCAGATAGTTGATGAAGATTGATGAAGGGGCCAGGGTCACGGTCCAGCCCCACAACAGGGGTCCACATGCTGACATGTGTAAAATGGTCTCAGGGTCAAAGAGAGACCTTTTGAGAGCTTCTACACAAAGAGTCCTATATACTTTACTCCCCAAAGCAGCCCATAGGATATTGAAGATTAGACTCAGGAGATATGGGGATGAAACTATCTATGGAACTTAGATGAAAGGTTGGCTGAGAATTGTAAGATTTAAACATCTTGTATTAAATAGTTGCCTCTCCCCTACCTGTAGTATTAGTATGGGTACTATGTCTAATTGGGGACTGTTCCTATACCTGATATAGTAAAATTGAAGACATGTAAGTTTGCCCTTAGGCTGGTAGTTATTGGACATGCTAAATAGGATCCTGAACCCACTAAGATTGTTAATCTAAAATAGTGCAAGATGCCTGGTGGGCAAAGGAGATTACTGCTTTGATTAAAGACAAGCTAATGGCTGGAATCTTGGTGCCAACAAATTCTCTGTATAACAATCCTGTAGAGCCTGTGTAAAAGGCAAATGGCTCATGGAGGTTGATAGTAGATTATCATGGCCTAAATAAAGTAGTGCCACTTGTGACTTCAGCAGTTTCAGACATGGTATTGACAGTGCAGAAAATACAGCAGTCTATAGGAGACTAGAGGAGCCCTTGTGTAGTGGTTATGAGTTGGACTGTGATCCACGAGATTCTCAGTTCAAAACCACCAGACGCTCTGTGGGAGAAAATAAACAGTTACAGTTTCAGAAACTCATGGGGCAGGTCTACCCTATCCGATAGGGTTACTATGGGTCAGCATTGACTTGATGGCAGTGAGTGAGTAGGAAGATTGTTGTTCATTGATTGATCTCCCAAATGCCTTTTCCCTCTATCCCAATTTCAGAAAAAAGTTAACCACAATTTGATATGGGAAGGATGACAAACTTTTCTCACATTGCCTCAGGGTTATTTAAATTCCCCAGCCTTCTGTCATGGTTGAATTTGAAGAGCCTTGGACTTGGTATAGATCTCAAGTTTGTGATATATTACATTGATGTATTATGTTAGTATCAAGCACAGAAGAACTGGCTAGGGCAAATTTTTTAACAATGGTGCTTCACATGACTAATACAGCCTGGTTAATAAATCCAGCAAAAATCTAAGGCCTTGCTCAAGAGGTGAAGTTCTTGGGATAACTGGCAGGAACTGCTGCTGGTGACATTCCACAGGCATCCAAGAATAAGTTACTGTGACAACCTATCCCCCAAGACTGTAAACAGGAAGCCTAACATTTGGTTGGTCTATTTGAATTTTGGAGGACTCATAACTGCCACACTTAGGGATATTGCTAGCTCACATCCATAAAACTCACATCCAGAAAACTGTGTTGAATGGAGGCTTTAGTAACAGCAGGTTATGACTTAATTACAGAAAGCAACCTCACTCTCCATGCCTTTAGGTTTTTATGATCCACATACAGACATGGTTTGGGAGGTCTCTGTCACATATGTTTATGTAGACTGTAGCATATGGCAAAAACCTACAATTGTTTCCCTACAACAACCATTGGGATTTTTGACTAGGAAGTTTCCAGTTTTCCAATTGAAACATTTCAGATACATATTATATCTTGGAGAAATACTCACATAAGGAAGGTGGGTCCCAAACAGTTGGATAATAAAATAGAAATGGCTACTACAGGAATCGACTACTGGAGGAATGCAGAATTGTACCCACCATATTCACAAACAGGTAGCCCCCTTTCTCACAGATCCTACCCTGCAACCACCTGAGAAGCCTGATTTCATGGCTTCCTCGGTGAGTTATCACATTTAATATGAGAGGGACAAAGGGAGGGACACCACTGGACAGATTCCTTTGATTCGTAAGAGAGTTTTCAGAAGGGAGACTTGTGGGGGGGTAGTAAGGAAAGTTGCTCTGTCACTGTACAGTTCTTCCCCACCTAAAATTACTTTTTTTCCCTGCCAGATGCTGCAGTCCCAAGACTAGGGATGCAGTTTTGAATAACAAAAGTAGGGCTGATCCCTCATCAAGAGCTTGTAACTATACCCCTGAATCAAGGTCTGATGGGATTTGTTGTGCCTTCTCCTCATCTGGCAAAACTAAGGCTGACTCTGAATAGTGTCATTTGGCCTAGTAGCTGGGATAGTCTTGTACCTATGGACCCCACCCAACATGAGTGGGAATGAACCAAGGGAGAAACACTTGCTACCAGCAATCGGGAACCTGAACCTGATGTCCTTTCCCAAGGTGGAAAATTGGGGGTAAAAATAAATGACAACTTGAAAGAAAGAGACATAATAGATGTAAAGAAATGAATAAAAGAGTTATGTAGAACAGAAAATCTAACATGTTTTTTTTCTGAAGAGACTAGGAGCAAGGGAATAATGCATCATTTCAAGAATGGATGGGTTAATGGCTAGAAGTACCAGGTGACAATCTGAATTATAGTCAATTGAAGGTTCTTCTAGCCATAATTCCTTGTGTGATCTAGTGTAATTCTGGACCCTGTGCACATGGGGCTATAGTCTCCTTTGGGAAGCATTTTCTACTATACTAGTGGGCAGGATTAGGGTGGGATTAAAAACTAACCTCAATAGAGGGTGTGAACCCAACCACACCCTTTAGTTCCTTGAAGGATTCTGTGCTTCTAAGCTACTAGAGGGTGTGACTTAAGACACATCCTTTCTTTCTTTTCTAATCACCATACAATTTTAACACACATTGCTTCATCTGGAAAGTCATACCCTAATTACTGATTGAGCTTTGGTAAGAGCAAGAATACCTGCTTTGAAAATTGGACATTTTGCCATCTGACACTCTGGACCCTATATTTGGCTTGCCTCTGTCTGACCTGCAG